TTTTTTTTTTGATGTTTTGGGAAGGAATTTCTCAAAATAATTAAAAAAAAAAATGAACACAAATCACAGTCTGGACTATAGTCTCAACTATAATATAAACTGTAGTCTCAACTATAGTCTCAAATATTCGTGACTATAGTCGCAACTATAGTCTGGACTATAATGTCAACTATGTGTATTCCGGATTATAGCCTCAACTATAGTCTGGATTTAGTCTTAACTATAGTCTCAACTGTATTCTGGACTATAGTCTTGACTATAGCCGCAACTATAGTCTGGACTAAAGTGTCAACTATAGTCTGGATTATAGTCCCAACTATACTCTGGACTATAGTCTCAAATGTAGTCTGGACTATAGTTTCAACTATAGTCTGGACTATAGTCTCAACTATAGTCTGGAATATAGTCTCAACTATAGTCTGGAATATAGTCTCAACTATAGTCTCAACTACAGTCTGGACTATAGTCACAACTATAGTCTCAACTATAATCTGGACTATAGTCTGAACTGTAGTCTGGACTATAGTGTCAACTATAGTCTGGATTATAGTCCCAACTATAGTCTGGATTATAGTCCCAACTATAGTCTGGACTATAGTCTCAACTATAGTCTCAACTATAGTCTCAACTATAGTCTGAACTATAGTCTCAACTATAGTCTGGACTATAGTCTGGACTATAGTCTCAGCTATAGTCTGGACAACAGTGACTACTATAGTCTATAGTCTCAACTATAGTCTCAATTATAGTCTCAACTACAGTCTGGACTATAGTCTCAACTATAGTCTGGACCATAGTCTCAACTATAGTTTGGATTATAGTCTCAACTATAGTCCGGACTATAGTTTGGACTATAGTCTCAAATTTAGTCTGGCCTATAGTCTCAACTATAGTCTCACCTATAGTCTCAACTATATTCTGGACTATAGTCTCAACTATAGTCTGGACCATAGTCTCAACTATAGTCTGGACTATAGGCTCAACTATAGTCTGGACTATAGTCTCAACTATAGTTTGGATTATAGTCTCAACTATAGTCTGGACTATAGTCTCAACTATAGTCTGGACTATAGTCTGGACTATAGTTTCAACTATAGTCTGGACTATAGGCTCAACTATAGTCTGGACTATAGTCTCAACTATAGTTTGGATTATAGTCTCAACTATAGTCTGGACTATAGTCTCAACTAAGTCTCAACTATAGTTTGGATTATAGTCTCAGCTATAGTCTGGACAACAGTGACAACTACTATCTATAGTGTCAACTATAGTCTGTACTATAGTCTCAACTATAGTCTGGACTATAGTCTCAGTTATAGTCTATATTATATAGACTATAGTCTGGACAAGAGTCTCAGCCATAGTCTATAGTATATAAACTATAGTATCAGCTATAGTCTGGATTATAGTGTGGACAATTATCTCAACTATAGTTGGGACTATAGCCTTAACCATAGTCTGGACAATATTATCAATTATAGTTTCAACAATAGTCTCAACTATCGTCTCAACTATCGTCTCAACTATCGTCTCAACTATCTTCTCAACTATCGTCTGGACTATAGTCTATAAACTATCTTACAGTCTAGACCAACGGTTCCCAAAAGGGGGTCCGCGGACCCCTAGTGGTCCGTAGCAAAATCCTAGGGGGTCCGCGAAGACGAACGAAAAAAATCATGAATAAAAAATATTCTCTATATGTTACAAAATATTAAAAATATCTCCAAATTTTTCATAAATACTAAAATACACAATTTTTATTCAATAATCCCAGATTTGTTGGTGACTCTTTGAATTTTATTGTTTCGGTCGTTTATCAGGATGAAGCTAGGCGCTACAAATTTATTGTTTCACTTTTATAAAGTAAAGTATTACGTGATTTGTAATTTTTATAAATATAAATGTTTTTATAGCAGACGGATAATGATTTGCCTTAGAATTAAATACTGATACTAGTATCCCGGAATATGAAGTTAGGTCACATTTCATAATATTTTTTTAAATTGTAAGCAAAAGTGTTAATCTAGTTAATTTTAAATATAAATATTCCATTCCAACGTGATACACAGATTTTAACTTCATTTTGTTGTCCAATATTATTAAATCAACATCAGAAAATTCATAGCGTTTTGCGTAAATAGTCAAAACCACGCAGTAAAATAATTCGTAGGTATTTTAAAATTCAAATTTAAGATCCAAATTCACAGTACATTCGCAAAGAGTTCAAGTCATATTTTATGTGGGTAACGCATTCCGCAACAACATCGAAGAAGTCTAACTTTCACATATTTTCCCGAAAACTTAGCTTACATACTCAGCTCACTCCTATGCAATCGCAAAAAAATTTAGAAACATGACTCTTTAAGCACATGTCGACAATACTTGTTAAAGAAACCTTTTCTCTACCTTGACGAGAAATGAACATGAAAGCTCTCACGATCATAAAATTAAACATCATGTTAGAAGTCATTCTATATTTAAAACCATGAAATTGAAAACATCTCCGAAATACTAAATGTTCTCAATGTACGGGAATATTTTATAGGGTTTATGGACCAGGACTAAGACAATTTTCGGACGAACAATTACACAGTGATACAGCAAAAAAATGCAGGGGTTCTCATATACCAATTCCATTTCGTTATAGTCCATAGAGTAGGAATTTATTTTTAATTTTTCCCGATCACTTCGTTTAGTTCCTTTTTAAGAGCAAAAGTTGTGAAAAAGAGCTATTTTTGAAGTTTTAACTTTAAAAAAATATATGTCTGGTAGTTTGCAACCGATTTTCAAATTGGATATTTTGTTTTAAAGATACAAGTGTTGTCTTTCAACCCAAAAAAATAAATCCAAAATTTATGATTAATGTCTTGGTTACGGCCATTTAAGTAAAAAAACTCACACTTTTTTCACAATTTTTAATTTTCATACTGCTCTACGTTGGCCATGAAGCAATAACTTTAGCTTTTATTACATTTGAAAAAAGCCACATTAAGTTGGGTTTCCAATGATGGTCAATTTATGATAATCGATGAAAAAGGTTATGAGTTGTGCTAAGTTTTATAAAAATATAGCATATTTCTTCCATACAAAAACGTTCATGTTTCTGGTTTTCTTTGTAACAAGTTTAAAAAATGTTTATAAACATTTTTATACAAAAATTAATTTGTATGGAGAAAACCAAAAATTCGAGAAACATGCTATTAGAAAAATTGGCATAAATTATCCAGTTTTTCATAGATTTTTATGAAATAACAAGTTTTAGAAACCTTCCTTTATGTGATTCTTCAGGAAAGTAATAAAAGATGAACTCACTGCCTCATGGTCAAAGTAGAGCATGATAAAAATGAAAATTTTTTAAAAAAGTGTGAGTTTTTTTACTTAAACGACCGTAACTCAGACATTTGACCATAAATTTTGGATTTCTTTTTTTGGATTAAAAGACACTTGTATCATTAAAAAAAAATCGGATTTGAAAATCGGATGAAAACTACTAAACTTATGATTTTTCAAATTTAAAACTTCAAAAATGGCTCTTTTTCGCATCTTTTGCTCTTAAAAAGTAAGTTAACGAAGTGATAGGGGAAAACTAAAAATATATTCGTACTCTATGGACTATAACGAAATAGAATTGGTATATGAGAACGCCTGCATTTTATTTTTCTTCACTTTTGTATCACAGTGTTATTTATAACAATAAGATATCAAAATATGTATGGGGGTCCGTGAAATTAAAAAAATTCCTCAAGGGGTCCGCGAAGTAAAAAATGGTGGGAACCGCTGGTCTAGACTATAGTCTGACCTATAGTCTGGAATATAGTGTCGGTACTATAGTTTCAACTACAGTCTGAAATATGGTATGAACTACAGTCTGGACTATAGTTTGAACTACAGTCTGAAGTATGGTATCAACTACAGTATGGACTATAGTTTCAACTACAGTCTAAAGTATAGTCTCAACTGCAGTCAGGACTATAGTCTCAACTACAGTCTGGACTATAGTCTCTACTATAGACTGCACTCAACTATAATATGGACTCAACAATAGTCTTTATTTATATAATCTGAACTATAGCCTAAACAATAGTCTAGACTATAGCCGGAATTATATTCTTCATAAACCGCCAACACCTGAACTAACACTTAAATATCCCTTTCTAATCCCTCAATCAGCAAAAACACCAAAACTTTATTAAATAATTGAAAATATTAAAATACACAACTTCATAACAAACGATTACGTAAACTTTTCTTATTTTGTCCAACAAATTATTAAGTGTTTACTTAAATAACAACAAAACCCCCCAGAACTTTGGTACTAATTGCAAACAAAACTTATTTCCTAAACTGAAATTAACTTTTTCAATACAAACATAAACACACACACACGCACAAACCATTACAAACTATCGACAAACTACAAATTGATAGATTTTTGTTTTTTTTTTTGTTTATCTCAAGAGTCCATTTGCCTTGTTGCTTAACAAACCAAACTGACAAGTCAAGAAATGTAAGAAAAACAACAAATCAAGGAGAAAGTAGGGGAAAAAAAACCTTTAATTTGTAACAATCAGTGTAAAAGGAAACCCCCAAAATAAATTTAAATGTAATCAAATGTGCACTTACAATACAACTCAAGTACAAGTATCTAAAACTGTAAAACAACTCAATTGAATTGAACTGAATGGCTCAAAGACTCCTGCAACAATTGCAGAAAAACTACAAATACAGTTGAGAGAACACATGACCTCATTACAAGTCATTTGGAAGGTAAAAATATACAAAAAGAAAAACAAAAATGAAAAACCAAACAATGTATTTTTTGTTAACAAACTTTAAGCCAAAAAAGTACGACGTTAAGGTAAGACCAACTACAACGTTTGTGGCAAATGGAAAAAAAATTAACAAGCAACAACAAAATTAAACAGCAAAGAGTAAAAAAGTTAAATTTGCTTAATAAAAGTACCAAAATGAAATAATAATGAAATTATTGTTGTACTTACAAAAAAGTATAAATCCACATTTTTGGTGCGTTTTGGAGCACAGGTCTGACGTTCACTGGGACAACAGCCGGCATCGTCAGCACAACGGTGAAGAATCGTACAATGGGGGGTATAAATCTTCCAAGAGTCTCTGCGTATACGTTCCACTCGTGGCTGTGGCAAACGGCAAGAACCCTCTGTAACAATACGACGATGATGTGCACTGGCCAAAGCTGCAAACAAACAAAAGATGATGATGAAAAATGGCAGCAAAAAATAAATAACGTTAAAAAAAATACATTGCACTCAAGAGGATTTTGGTTAGTAAAGAAGAAACAGTAATGGATGACAAAAAAAAAAAAGAACAGCATCAATATGAAGGACATAATCCAACAAAGGTGTTACACAATATCCACTCTTCTTACTCAAAAACGAAAAAAAAAACACCTAACTGACATAGAATATATTGCCCCCTGGGTGTGTAGGTGTTTTCAACTGAACATCCTTCTGTAGGACTATGTTTTACTCTTAATGTCCACCTACTGTTGTTTAGACTGTGTTTGTGTACATATTTACTTTTGACTACTTTTAGTTTATTGATAGTTGCAACATTTGTTTTTGTAGTTGTTTTTTTTTTTTTGTCTTCACTTATGCAATATTTACGATTTGTGTCGTATATATACAACAACAACTTACTACCTCCACTCTTTACAAAAATAAACTGACAAAAAAAATTAGTTCTTAAAATGTACGTATGTCGAAAACATGCCAGCATGTTGTCGTCATGTAGTCGTCGTATATAGTGTTAACTATATTTGTGAATACAACCTACATCAGACCGGGTTTGAAAAGTTTTATGACTTTTAATGATGGACACCTAGGATTCGTAAATATCGAAAAGTTCCTTAGGATTGATAAGTATTCTAAAGAAAAGTTGCTAAGGAACTGCAAAAGCTTAGAAAAGTTGTTTAGGAAATGAAAAAGCTTTTCCATAGAAAAGTTGTTCAGGAGTTGACAAACCTTTTTACATAAAGCTTGCTCAAGAACTGACAAGCTTATCTAGAGAAATGTTACTCAGCGTCCAACAAGCTCGGAAATGTTGCTCGGGAACTAATAGAAGTTTCTATTGAAAATTTGCTCAGGAACTGACTAGCTTATCTATAGAAAGTTGCTCAGGAACTGACAAGTTTTCTAGAGAAAAGTTGCTCAGGAAGAGACAAGCTTTTCGAGAGAAATGTTGCACATTAACTGATAAGGTTTTGTAAAGAAAAGTTTCTTAGGAACTGAGAACTTTTTCATAGAAGAGTTGCTCATGAATTCAAAAGCTTTTCAAGAGAAAATTTGCTTGAGAATTGATAAGCTTTTCTACAGAAAATTTGATCAACAACTGACAAGCTTTTCTATAGCAAAGTTGCTCTAGAACTGACAAGCTTTTTATAGAAGAGATTCTCAGAATTAACAAGCTTTTCTATACAAAATTGATCGGAATCTGAAATATTTATAGTCTAGTCTAGACTATAGATAGTCTAGTCTATAGTCTAGTCTATTTAGTCTAGGTCTATAGTCTAGTCTATAGTCTAGTCTATAGTCTAGTCTATAGTCTAGTCTATAGTCTAGTCCTATAGTCTAGTCTATAGTCTAGTCTATAGTCTAGTCTATAGTCTAGTCTATAGTCTAGTCTATAGTCTAGTCATAGTCTAGTCTATAGTCTAGTCTATAGTCTAGTCTATAGTCTAGTCTATAGTCTAGTCTATAGTCTAGTCTATTAGTCTAGTCTATAGTCTAGGTCTATAGTCTAGTCTATAGTCTAGTCTATAGTCTAGTCTATAGTCTAGTCTATAGTCTAGTCTATAGTCTAGTCTATAGTCTGTCTAAGTCTAGTCTATAGTCTAGTCTATAGTCTAGTCTATAGTCTAGTCTATAGTCTAGTCTATAGTCTAGCTATAGTCTAGTCTATAGTCTAGTCTATAGTCTAGTTCTATAGTCTAGTCTATAGTCTAGTCTATAGTCTAGTCTATAGTCTAGTCTATAGTCTAGTCTATAGTCTAGTCTATAGTCTAGTCTATAGTCTAGTCTATAGTCTAGTCTATAGTCTAGTCTATAGTCTAGTCTATAGTCTAGTCTATAGTCTAGTCTATAGTCTAGTCTATAGTCTAGTCTATAGTCTAGTCTATAGTCTAGTCTACAGTCTAGTCTATAGTATAATCTATAGTCTAGTCTATAGTCTAGTCTATAGTCTAGTCTATAGTCTAGTCTATAGTAGTCTAGTCTATAGTCTAGTCTATAGTCTAGTCTATAGTCTAGTCTATAGTCTAGTCTATAGTCTAGTCTATAGTCTAGTCTATAGTCTAGTCTATAGTCTAGTCTATAGTCTAGTCTATAGTCTAGTCTATAGTCTAGTCTATAGTCTAGTCTATAGTCTAGTCTATAGTCTAGTCTATAGTCTAGTCTATAGTAGTCTAGTCTATAGTCTATTCTATACTCTAGTCTATAGTCTAGTCTATACTCTAGTCTATACTCTAGTCTATACTCTAGTCTATAGTCTAGTTTATAAATTAGTCTATAGTCTAGTCTATAGTCTAGTCTATAGTCTAGTCTATAGTCTAGTCTATAGTCTAGAAATACAATTTTTCGTGACAAATATTGCTTAGATTCTAAGAAGCTTTTCCTTAGAAGTTGAATGATTTGATACTGACAATCTTTTCAAACCTAGAAACTTTTCGATCCTATTACTATATACATATACATATTTATATATGTATGTATGTTTATATGTGTGTTATCATAGTGTTTATTTTTCCTTTTCAAGCCAAAACACCCAGAAAACAATTTAGCACTTCGACAATTGCCAACAGTAACGACAAAAGAACGGAACGAGAATGTAGAAGAGAGAAAAAAAGAACATGGCAAAAACAAAAAGAAAAAAACAACAAAATGACTACAACCTTTTTCTGGTAGGATCAAATAACAGTCAACAGCAAATGGTACATTTAACGTTGGAATTTAAACGGTATTTAGATTGTGGAGATTTATTTTATTTTGCATTTATTCGAGAGGAAAAAAACAAAACAAGGAGCCAGTCATTTTAACGATAACAAACAAACAAACAAATCTAGCTCAATTAATGGTAAAAACAAAACAATTTTTAAAAGCATTTCAATAGTAAAGGTAACAGCAACATTAAAAGTTAAAGTTTAGGAAGTTGTGAAGTGATATAAATTTGCAAATTAAGTAAATAAAGTCATTAGGCAATTATTGCTATTGAAATATTCTGTCCATCTTTTCTAGAAAAAGTTGTTCTATTTCTTAACATTTTTTCTGGGGAAAAGTTCTTCATGAACAGAAAAGCTTTTTTATGGAAAAGTTGCTCAGGAACTAACAAGTTTTTCTAATGAAATGATACTCAGGAACAAGTTACTCAGGAATTGTCAAACTTTTCTATAGAAAAGTTGCTCAGAAACTGACAAGCTTTTCTATAGAAAAGTTGCTCAGGAACTGATAAGCTTTTCTATAGAAAAGTTGCTCAGGAACTGATAAGCTTTTCTATAGAAAAGTTGCTCAGGAACTGATGAGCTTTTCTAAAGAAAAGTTGCTCAGGTACTGACAAGCTTTTCAATAGAAAAGTTGCTCAGGAACTGACAAGCTTTTCTATAGAAAAGTTGCTCAGGAACTGACAAGCTTTTCTATAGAAAAGTTGCTCAGAAACTGACAAGCTTTTCTATAGAAAAGTTGCTCAGGAACTGACAAGCTTTTCTATAGAAAAGTTGCTCAGGTACTGACAAGCTTTTCAATAGAAAAGTTGTTCAGGAACTGACAAGCTTTTCTATAGAAAAGTTGCTCAGAAACTGACAAGCTTTTCTATAGAAAAGTTGCTCAGAAACTGACAAGCTTTTCTATAGAAAAGTTGCTCAGAAACTGACAAGCTTTTCTATAGAAAAGTTGCTCAGGAACTGATAAGCTTTTCTATAGAAAAGTTGCTCAAGAGCTGACAATATTTTATATAGAAAAGTTGCTCAGGAACTAAAAAGCTTTTATATAGAAAAGTTGCTCAGGAACTAAAAAGCTTTTCTATAGAAAAGTTGCTCAGTAACTGACAAGCTTTTCTAGCTTGTATAGAAAAGTTGCTCAGGAATTGACAAGCTTATCTATGGAAAAGTTGCTCATTAACTGACAAGCTTTTCTATAAACAAGCTGTCAAAAAGTTTATTCCTAGATTTAAACATAATTCAAAAATGAACACCTAAATATTTACCTTTATTTTGTCTTTGTTGCAAAGCATACTGTCTTCTCGATTCTAAAATGGCCGCTGGTGAACCCAATTCTTCCTCTTTTTTGCGTGTCACTGTGCCAGGTACATAAGAGCGTGCATAAATATTGTCAGTTTCATCCTAAAAATACATAAATAAAAAAAGAGAGATTGAATAAAAACAGTTCCAGAAAATTCAATTTATAAAATTTCATAAGCTGTTAGTGAGTTTTATCATTTTTTTGTCAATTATTGTTACATTTCATTTTGAAAGTAGATTTCATGTTGACGCATTAGCATGCATGTCATAACTTCCTTGACACTTTTACTTTCTTAAACACTGGCACGTTTCAATATATATAAATTTTTTTTTGTTTCAGTATTATACAGATATTATTGGTTGCATGAAGCATGCCATGCAATATACTCCCTCAGATTTTCATTTTGAAATATACATTGTGGTACTTGTAGTTTTTTGTGCTTTTTTTTAATAACCTAGAGCGGTTTTGACGCTTTTATATGATTTCTTTAGTTTGCTCACACTAACAAATGGTTTATAACTTTGTTATAAAACAGGTGTTTTGTATGTAAGAGTATATTCTTTCTAAGTTTTGTTGTAGATTCACATGAATGAATTTATAAAGTTGCCAGGAAAATTCCTTTGGGCAAACGCTTCTTGTTTTGAATTTGAATATTTTTTTTGATGAAAACTTTCTGTGGCTTTGGTCACATTAAGAAAGATATTTGCTTAGATTTTGACAAAAGTTGCTCAGATTGTGGCAATAATTTCTATATAAAAGTTGCTCAGATTCTGACACTCTCAGAATTTGCTCAGATTCAGACACATTCTTCTATAGAAAAGTTGCTCAGATTCTGAAAGTTGCTCAGATATTGTCAATATTGTCTATAAGAAATTGTTTAGATTCTGGTACTATTTTCTATAGGAAAGATGCTCAGCTTCTGATACTGTTTTCTACAGAAAAGTTGCTCAGATTCTGACACTCGTTTCTATAGAAAAGTTGCTCAGATTTTGACACTCTTTTCTATAGAGAAGTTGCTCAGATTCTGACACTCTTCTCTGTAGAAAAGTTGCTCAGATTCTGATACTCTTGTCTATAGAAAAGTTGCTCAGATTCTGACACTCTTCTCTATAGAAAAGTTGTTCAAATTCTGAAGCTCTTTTCTATAGAGAAATTGCTGAGATTCTCACACTCTTTTCTATTGAAAAGTTGCTCAGATTCTGATACTCTTTTTTATATAGAAAAGTTGCTTAGATATTGACACTCTTTTCTATAAAAAAGTTGTTCAGATTTTGACACTCTTTGCTATAGAAAAGTTACTCAGATTGTGGCAATATCTGTTGCTCAGATGTTGATAATCTATTTATAGGGAAGTTGTCTAGATTCTGGTACTATTTTCTATAGAAAAGCTGAACTGGTTCTGAAACTTGCTAAGATTTTTGCAATATTTATTATGAAAAAGTTGCTCGGATTCTGATAATGTATTCTATTGAAAAGTTGCTCAGATTCTGACACTCTTTGCTATAGAAAATTTGTTCAGATTCTGAAACTCTTTTCTGTAGAGAAGTTGCTGAGATTCTCACACTCTTTTTCTATAGAAAAGTTGCTTAGATTCTGGTACTGTTTTCTATAGAAATGTTGCTCAAATTCTGATAATGTTTTTTATAGAAAAGTTGTTCAGGTTTTGATACTCTTTTCTATGGAAAAGTTGCTTAGATTCTGACACTCTTTTCTTTAGAAAAGTTGTTCTGTTTCTGACACTTTGTTCTATAGTAAAGTTGCTCAGATTCTGTAAATGTTTTCTATAGAAAAGTTGCTCAGATTTTAACCACATTTTTTTGGGAAAAATTGCTGCAATTTGAACATATTTTCTCAAAAAAAGTTGCTCTTGTTTTGGCAAACTCTTTTGTAGTTTTCATATTTTTCAGCCCTCATCTGTTATTATTATTATTATTATTTAGACAGCTCCTGCCTGCAAACATTGCAACCGATAACGGATTGTAAATTGAGCCTTTTATATGTCAAGTCATAATATTGTACGAAAGACAACAACAACAACAACAAAATGTCTCTGTTATTGGCTCCTACATTAAAAACAAAAAAACATTGCTACAAACTAATAAGACTATATTGTTGGACAGACAAAGCAATTGCTGCAGCATGCAACATTATTGATTCATATACAATATTTGTCATTTTAACAGGATTTTCTAATACAATACTAATGCTAAGGTTGTTGTTTATATCACACGTTCAGCAGACAACTGTAAGGACGGACAGACAGACAGACGGACGGTTGGATGGATGGACGAATGGACTTACAGTATCTGTTTATTTGAAGGCTTTTAATGGAAATGGTCGTTTGGTTTGGTTTGGCAAAAATAAAAACAAAAGTTAATTTAACATCATAAACCAAAGTATAAATAACTTGATTCGTCTAAGAGGCGACAGCTCGTTTATCTATTTGACAGCTTAAAGCTATTTTTAATATAGCTTCTTGCAAATAGTATGTATTTAAAAATTGTATATCTATGTTTATAAATGCATACATAAGTCAATTTTAGGTTAAAACTTTTAACCAGCCAACACCTCTAATTTGCAAACAACCACCGACCGAACGAACGAACGAATAAACGACCACCTGCTTTTGTTACTTGGACTTACACAGAGATTCATATATAATTCCCGGCAAAGCTTTTGGTGAAGAGAAGTTGAGACAAAATTGTGTTAAGACGAGAGTGGTTTCTATTGATTACTTAGGACTAATGAAATAACTACTTCTATGTTTTTTACAAGGATCAATTAAATCAGCAGTAAAACAATAAAGTACTAGACTTAAGACCCCCGAATTACCTCTTTTGCTTTAGTTTTTAATTAAATTATTTTAACCCTTTTTGATTCACCAGATCTGCCAGGTTTTTTTATATACACTCACATATGTACATATGTATGTTTGTATGTCTATTTACATATGAGTTTTAATTTTTTATTATCTCTTCCTGGTAATATAATTTATTAAATATTTAATAAGTTTGTCACTTGTTCAAATTTATTTGTACAAATACACAGTTTTTCATATAAATACCTACACCATTACAAATCACCTAAAGAAACATTTTAATCCTCTTATGGCGATATTTTTCTTTCCTTTGATTATGTTTTGTTATGTATTAGACAAAAAGGAGGCGAAAAGGAAAAGTCATGACAAAAGAAGCTCAAATGGGTTTTTTTTTTCTACACAAATGCCGAAAAAATCATTTATCATGTTAATTTTCTACAAGAAAATCACATAAATATGAAGGAGTATTTATGTTTAATGCAAAAAGTATGATTTAATTTGTTTAAACCCAAAAAAAAGTTTGTATTTCCGTGTAAAGTGAAAGTTTTTATTGAAAAGTGAAATTTGTTCTAACATTAAATGTAGATGAACTGCAGCTTTATGGAATTTCTTTACTTTGGTAGAAATTTATCTGGAATAATAAATCATCCCGATTAAGTTGAAAATTTAACAAAATCCATATAAAATATTCTTCCATGCCTTGTATCCAAATAGTTTTATAAATGTTATTTAAAATTTTTTTAAGATAACTCATAAATCTAGATCTAAAACTATACTGTTGTCTAGGTCTAATTTTTGTACGGTTGTCTTCTCTCTTCTCGTCTACAGTCTAGTCTAAAGCCTAGTATATAGAGTTCATAGTCAGGTCTATAGTCCATAGTCTAGTCTACTGTCATAGTCATGTCTACAGTCTAGTATGTAATCTAATATATAAAGTGTATAGTCTGGTCTATAGTCTTGTCGCGTTTACAGTCTAGTCTGTAATCTAATATAGTAGTCTAGTCCATAGTCTTGTCTACTGTCATAGTCATGTATAGTCTATAGACTAGTCTACAGACATCTCTAACCTATTGTCTAGTCGATAGTGTAGTCTATAGTCTGATCTATAGCCTAGTCTATAGTCTGATCTATAGCCTAGTCTATAGTCTGATCTATAGCCTAGTCTATAGTCTGATCTATAGCCTAGTCTATAGTCTGATCTATAGCCTAGACTATAGTCTGATCTAAAGCCTAGTCTATAGTCTGGTCTATAGCCTAGTCTATAGTCTGATCTATAGCCTAGTCTATAGTCTGATCTATAACCTACTCCATAGTCTGATCTATAGCCTAGTCTATAGTCTGATCTATAGCCTAGTCTATTGATTAGTCGATAGTGTAGTCTATAGTCTGATTTACAGCCTAGTCTATAATCTGACCTATAGCCTAGTCTACAGTTTGGTCTATAGCCTAGTCTACATAGTATGTAGTCTGATCTATAGCCTAGTCTATAATCTGATCTACAGCCTTGTCTATAGTCTGATCTATCGCCTTGTCTATAGTATGATCAATAGTCTAGTCTACAGTCTGATCTATAGACTATGCATAGATCAGACTATACAGTAATCTACGGTTTGGTGTATAGCTTAGTCTATTGATTTGTCGATAGTGCAGTCTATAGTTTGATTTATAGTCTAGTCTATTGTCTGATCTGCAGCCTAGTCTATATCCTGATCTATTATCTAGTATAATCTACAGTCTAGTTTAAAATGTGGTCTATAGTGTAATCTATGGTCATTTCTATAGCCTAGTCTATAATATAATCCAGTCTATAGTTTATAGTCTAGTCAAAAGTCTAACTTATAGACTATAGTCAAGTCCAAAGCATAGTCTATAGCTTAGAGCTTATTATCTAATCTATTATGTAGTCTATAGTCTAGTCTATAGTCTAGTGTATAATCTAGTCTATAGTCTAGCCTATGGTCTAGTCTATAGTCTAGCCTATAGTCTAGTCTATAGTCTAGTCTATAGTCTAGTCTATACTCTAGTCTATAGTCTAGTCTATAGTCTAGTCTATAGTCTAGTCTATAGTCTAGTCTATAGTCTAGTCTATAGTCTAGTCTATAGTCTAGTCTATAGTCTAGTCTATAGTCTAGTCTATAGTCTAGTCTATAGTCTAGTCTATAGTCTAGTCTATAGTCTAGTCTATAGTCTAGTCTATAGTCTAGTCTATAGTCTAGTCTATAGTCTAGTCTATAGTCTAGTCTATAGTCTAGTCTATAGTCTAGTCTATAGTCTAGTCTATAG